TCTGGTACCTGTGATATTATCACACTTTCAAATCACTTATGCAAGTGCCACTTATGCCAAACAACAGTGTCAAGTCAGGATGTTAAGAATGTCACGAACAAACATTAGTGTCATCTTCTTAAAAGAGCTGCAGATCCCTTTACTTTTTAAGCCAGAGTAAAGAGTATTTTTCTCAAAAAGTTACTTCATTATGGGCGAGTCATGTGGATGCACGATCAAAGTCTTAGTAGGGATAACAGTGGACAATACCCCCTCCCCCCCCGCCCCGACAATCCTCCTCCTGAAATGACTAACATGTTAAGAATAACAAATGCGATATTGAGAAAAATTACATGGCTGCCTTTAATCTTGATGCATTTCAGTGAACAGATGGATAGACAGATGGATAGAGTTTCTCACTCATCTATTCTCACTCTTTCATGAACTTGCTTACATTTTTTATTGCTTTATCTACTATTTCCTTAAACGCGTTACCTGTCTTTCAGTTAATCAAGGTACATCCCCAGGTAGAGGTGGGGTAAACAGATAATCTCATTAACCCAGGTATCCCTTTGAAGAACTGTCAGTTGAGTGCTTGAGGCAATCAAATCTTGAGTGGAATCAAAGCCTGATTGCAATCAAACCCCCTGAACTAATATTAAGGCCAGTACGACTCTCACTGCAATGCCAGTACGACTCACACTTCACTAAGTCTCAACAGAGAATAGAGTTTTTTTTAAAAAGGTTGCAACGATAGATGAAACTATTCCCTCGAGGTGGCTAACAGATCCTTTCCCGCAGGCACCTAAGAAGAAACCAGTGGGATGCCCAAAGAAAAACGCAGATGAATCGCCCCGTGGACACCTGGGCAAATGGCCACGCAATGTAAATCTGGACTTTGACCACTCTCCTGCAAAACGCGGCAAATATAAACAATACTCAATGGCTCAGAAGAGGAAAATTGTAGAGTTGGCAGCCCTTCAAGGCATTGTTACAATCTCAAAATCTATGAACATACCCAAGTTAACAATCAGCACGTGGAAGGGGGAACTGGCAAAAGAGGATGTGAAGCGATTGAAGTCAGGGAGAAAAGAAGGTAATTATAAAATCAATCAATGTGGAAATTAAAATCTACTCCTATGTTATTTTGCAAACTTTTCTTTTATTATTAGCACTTGTAAATAATTTAATGTAACAATTAAATAGAACACTAACAAATAGTATCTTCCAACTGAAATTTGCCTCATGAATTTTAGATTATACCAGATATGAGCGATTTCTTAAAATAAAAGAAGCAACAAGCAATAATAATGAAATACAAATGAAAATAAAAACATTATACTATTTTTACAAAGGATCTGGAAAGAAGCCAGTGCTGGGAGACTTAGAGGAGGAGCTCCTTACTTGGGTACTGAGTCAACAAGAACAATATCTGCCTGTCTCTGCCACCACGCTCTGTCACTGCTCGACGAAAGCTCAGCTTGAGGAGTTCCACAACGGTCAGTCAATGGCTGCTGGCAGACGTGCAGCACAGTTTCCGTATTCCATAGATACCTTGGAGAGGTGCAGGAGGGAATGGAGTTTGAGTCAGGTTTGGTGATAAACATGGATGAGGTGCCTAAGATCTTTGATCTTCTGCTTGCAAAGACATTGCACACAAGAGGCGACAAAGATGTCAAAATCATTTCCAGTGGTGCCGAAAAGAAGCATTTTATGGTTGTCCTGGCGGTTACGGCAGACGGCCGTAAATTGCCATCTGTGATCATTTTTAAAGGTAGTATAAATATACGTTTGATCTTACCAACAAATCAATGTAGTAAAATTTAATGCATCTTATCTAACAACAAACCATACGCCGCTGATTTTTTACATAATAATGCTATGTAACTTATTCTTAAATTTCAGAGAAGCTCAGCTAGCCTCGAGATTATACCATTTAATCCTGCAACATTGGCTGAAACCTTTTAGGTAAAAATGTTACATTTCACATGTTCATTAAATTCTTCCAATCTCATTTTAGGGAAGAGAGACCCGGAGTAACTGCACCTCCTGGATGGGTCGTAACTGCCAATCCCACTGGGTGGATGAAGGAGGAGGTGATGCTTTTGTGGATAAAGGAAGTTCTTCGACTGTTTACGGAGAGACGCCCTGGACTCCTTCTCGGTGCACACAACCGACATGGTTAATAAAGAATTGAGATGGGCCAACGCCATGGCAGCCATCATCCCAGGAGGATGTACCTCTCTGGCCCAGCCTCTGGACATATCCCTGAACAAGCCGTTCAAGGGGAATTTACGGAGGCTGTGGTCAGAGAGGATGTGGAGTTCCATAGAAGCCATCATCAAGGCTGGGGGTAGCATCGACAAGATCCAAACAGCTTCGAAGGAACAAGTGCTCGAGTGGATTAATGACGTATGGTCACACATCCCCCCAGAAATGATAAGACTTAGTTTCGATGCCACTGGCATCAATCCAGCACTTGGGGGAGAACCGGAGGATCTGTCCAATCCGTTTTTGGGCAGCGATGGGGAGGAGTTCCTCGGGTTCACCCCTGACGACATCAATGACAGAAACCCCTTTAGAGACTGTATGTGAACATTAATTCAGTGATAAAAAGAATCAAACTGACAGTATGAATTTACGACAAAAACAATTAACGAGTCACACTTTACAATTACTTTTTTCATTTATTTTACTTTAGATGATGTAATGTAATTGGACAATAATAACGTGTCAGTCTTTAGATGTTTTTTTTTCATATATTTTATTTAAGAAATTGTGTTAGTGGCCTTGAACAATAATAACGTTATAACGAAATACAAAGAAAATTAAAATGTGTAAGTGTCCAATAAAATTGTTATTATAAACTTATTATTATTGTTATTATGATTAGTATAATAGTTAAAAAAAGTAGTCACATGTCACAATAAACATCTTAACTTTATAAAAAAGGGCATTAAAAAAAACTTATTAAAAACAAAGATTAAATAATTTCCATGGTAGAGATGAAAGAAACTTAAATGAATAAGGAAAACAACTATATCTGAATACGTGAAATTAGTAATTTGGTTTACTAAAAATGAAAAAAAAAAGAACTGCAAAGGGTGCCTGTCAGGTAGATCTTAAAAATGATGTGCACAGATGTACACTTTCAATTCCCGTACTGTTGACGATGCTATCGTGCGCATAAAGCAAAACAAACATTATATTCTCGCACTGCGGCTAGAGTTAAGTTCAATGGCCTGGTGATTATGATGGCGATTGGCGTCCCCAGCCAACATACCGATCAATATCTCGCACTCTGGATCGCACACTAAGTGCTTGGGCGTATATAATTTGGCGCAATTACCGACACTCACTAATCAGACATTACGGTAACTCTAGATAGATCATCAGGAGAAGGAAACATAAGGCCTAACGACAAACAGACAACTTCCGGTCAAAATTGACAAAATTCCATGAAATTCGAACGTTTGCAAGTTCTGAGCACCTTAATTCATGAATTTCGATCAAAATGATCTTTCCCCAAATTGAATTATTTTTTACTGATCGAAATTCATGGCACATTACCGTATTATGTGGGGTAGCAATTAGGTTTAGCTTGATCCCTCTCCTCCATCTGGAGGTATGTTTCTTAATGAAATAACAATTCTCAACTTTCTTTTTGGGTAAGATAACATAAGGAAATCCAGTAGCACCAATAAATATAGATCATCATTTACCACCAGAAAGTGACTTTGGAAGTAGTGATAAATATCCACAATATGTGAGGAACAAGGATAAAAGCCGATAAGGATAAAAGCCCGAAGGTTGAAGTTTTGAAAATTTCGTCATACCCAGGAGTTGGGGAAACATAATTTTGAAAAATTTTGCTGGATTTATGCAATTAAAAATATAAATTAATTTTTAAACAATTAATTTTTAAACAACGAAAAGTTTTTACCGTAACAAAGTTGCTGAGATAGAAAAAATATCAATAGAACAGTTTGAAATGCCCAACTTGCTCTTTTCTGAGATTCGGAACATAGTGAAGGATTAAATCTGACAAACTGCACTCATTTGAGTATATTTCCATATTTGACAGTTCATTACACAATACAAGATTACAGGCTTACTATTATTTTTATGTAATCAACAATATTGTTAAGATGCAGAAAATGTCTAAAGAACACTTTTACGTATCTAATTAGTTCAATAATGAGACTGTTAACTTGCCTAAGAACTGAATCTGAGGAAAAACCATTTAGTACATACAAAAAAGGCATAACTTTGTCAAAACTGAACCGATCAAGGTTATTTTTAAATATGATCTGTTTATTAGTCCTATGAATCATTCCTACAAGTTGTAAAGCAAAATGTGACATGGTTTAAATGTTATCGGTATAATGGTAGATAAAATGAGCTGGAAAAAAAGCATGACTTTTGTAAAAATGGTCCAATCAAGCTGATTTTTAAACTTTACCTGCATTTTATGAATATTCATCTGTTCAGTAATTTTTAAGAGAAGGGGTAAAATGTTTTTTCACTTATCGTGATATCACTGAAAGTGGATGGCGACAACGGGGACGACAGGGGCAGGTGACGGCTATATGTACTGACACATCTGTATCTGTACATAAAAATTAATCACTTTTGAAAAAATAATTCAAAAACATTCTGATTTTTGAAAGGAACATTTTTTACCAACCAAAGACACTGAAAATTTGAAGAAAAACAAAAATATAGTTTGGCAGTTATGGGATAAACAAGAGATGAGTCAGCAACAGTGCAACCCAGACAGACTTAATGATCAGAATTTCTAAAGACACAAAGTATCTGTATACAAGGTATATCAATAATATAATCTATAATATTGGAAAACATTAAAAATACTGGCAAAAACTACCATGCAAAAATGTTGTGCATGTATAATAGGCACAGTATTGGGGTCACAGCAGTTTTACTTCCTAGTAAAAGCAATAATTTGCAGGATCTCATTCTCTCTATAAAGCTTGAATGTGCAGGTGGTCTCGAGTACTTACAAACATCCATTAACATTTGAAACTGAGGGTTTATTAGGTGTCACTTCACTTATCAACTGTTTCATAACTGCTGATGGAAACATATCACTACTGGCTTCTGAAAAAAATATGACTTGTATCAAAAAGATATGAAATTTTGTTTTTAAGAAAAAATGCATGTGAGTCCACTTTCATTGAAGACAACTTACCAGCAATTGATGAAAGATCTGGCATGACATTGGCTTCCTTTATGTTGATTGCTTGATTATTGATCAATGTGGAATTGAAACACTGTTCTGTTTTCTTTTGCTGACCAAGATGACAATCCAATTCTAAAATGGTATCAATTTCAAATTCAGTTCATTCATAATAGTCATCTCCTATTTGCAAAGTAGTACTTATTCTGGAGTTGCATATTATAAATATACTTAGGAAAGGGAGTTGGTAGGCAATAATCCTGCTGGGGGACAGCTGCCCTAAAGTCATCTTTGCACATACAATACTATCTCCCATTTTTTTCCAGTCGAAATCAGTTTTTGAGCGAAAAAATGTTTGAGAAAACTACCATGTGATAAAAGTATTTTAATTGTTTGAGTTTTAATATTATTACCAGTTGATGCAGAATGACCATCTAATCTTATTTAAAATAATTTAAAAATTTTTCATTGGATAGTTACAAATAATATTCACTTTCAGTCAGAGGAACAACTCTTTTTTATTATCAAAACTTTAGATGCAAAAAGTGCTTCATATATCAATTTACATTACTTTTACATATAAATAAAGTTTTTTTTATCAAATACAGGACTTGGAATCAAAACTAACTGACGTTGTTGCAGATTATGTGATAAGTCTGAATAGAATTCCACCTGTATTCTAAGAAGATCAGCCAAAGTCTTCATGAATTTAGGAGAGACAATGTTTCCAATTAGACTAAATTATATGTAAAATATGACTGGCTGACTAACATACATCGTTCTACCGCTTGGTTGGTTTAAATAAAGAAATGACAAAAATCACATTTCCAACAGAAATTGAGCTACTTATCAGACTTAATGCACATCTTTGCAAACCTAAGCATGTAGTGCTGTCTGCCATACATTCATCCCCCTTTACAAAGGCAGCCTTTTCTCTAATCTCAGCTGACTTGGTGCTTTTTGATACACTTTGCTTATTTGAGAGAAAACCTAGAAAAAGAAACACAAAATGTCTACAAAGCAATATGTATATGCAAAGTAAATTTATAATAAATGTATTTTTTCTTCTTTTGAAATCCCTAACCTTAAAATAAAATTGTGGAATGACCCTGAAAATTAAAAGCCACATATATGGAAACCTGTATTCTTTTAACTTTGTGGTAAAAACAATAGCTGGACACAGGAAGTAATTTAATTCATTATTCACAGAGAGATTGTAGCATGCTACCTTAAAAGATGGAAATAGAACGGACAAAAAAATAATCAGTCCCTTTGATAAGGTGCACGTATCAGATTAGTTACCTGTAATGGAAGAAACATCAGGTGTGATTTTCACTTCTTTAATATTGGTTGCCTTCGCACCAATCAAGGTTGAATTGAAGCATTGTCCTGGTTTCAACTGCTTGCCATTTTTATTTTCACTATGAACATTATCCCCTCTGTCATTAGATAATTCAAAGGACTGTCTAACTGCTCTCCTCTTCTTCTTTTCCTGTTTGCAAAGCAGGTTACATGTCTCTATATTTGGCAATGGTATTGATACAAGAGGTAACTGGTTTTTCTGTGGACCAGCAAGTGATGAAGAAATATCTCTCTTAAAAATTGCCAGTCCTGTTGTATTTCGTTCTTCAGTTGCAGAACCTGGAAATTCTAAAAAGCAGTAAAACAAATGATGTTTAGTGCTATCATGCAAATAGCTGTTATAAACGAAGCCTCCTTTGAAAAATAATTCTGACAAAATTAAAAATTCTCAATATTGTTCTTCCACCACTTTTCAATCTTCAGTGCAAAAACATTTGCCACAATTCTTCTTTCCTTACACATAAATCTGTGTGATATTCTCTATGTCTTTTTAAAGAAAAAAAAAACATTATGTTGTAATTGAATTTATCCCTTCACCCACAAAACCCCAAACAATACCATAAGAAATAATAAATTCAATAACTTGACAAAACTATTCCTTTTTTGTCAATGAACTGCACCCTACTTACCATGAATAGTTGACATGCACTCTGGAGGTGGAATATCACAGATGGATTTGGCGCAATCTGTGTCAATAAGAGTAGAATTTCTGTGTTCAGGGGAAACGTTTTCTTTTCTGGTACTTGTAGCTAAGGGAAACTGACTTCTTGTCAATCTATGCAGACTACATTTTTCTAAAATCACAAGGGTTTTTCACAGAATAAAAAGAGGCAAAAACATTACAGGTTATACTTGCTTTTAACCTGCTTTTAACCATCAATATAGATTAAAAGAAGTTTTGACATTAAGATATGGTTTATCTTAATAGGTTCAGTGGCATTTTCATTAATTTAGCCGTTACTTTTGTGGAACTACAGTATGAGTAGGTAAAAGTACTAACTTGAAGTTTTCAGAGCAGTTTGTTTCAAGGCTAGGGTGATGTCTTCACCTTCTTCCCCACTGAAAGCTACTCTATGGTGATGATGATCTATGATAAATTTAACTTTTTATTCAGAATGATTATCTGATGATTTTCTTCATAAATCAAGATGTCCAAATCAGGCATGATTGTACCAATCTTATTTGATAATCTTAGCAACAAAATTCCACATCAAATATACATTTCTAAAAGCAACCGTAATGAATTTATAAGGACAGCATTACAATAAGTAAACCATTTATTTCATTTTCATTAAAAAAGCTGTCAAAAAAGGGTTTTAAAGATTGATTTATTCTGGACTGGGAACATTATTCCAATTTACTACTGTACATTTTTAAATTAAAATTAGTAACAGATTATGCATCAATTCATCAGAGTACACTACTTATAATCCATATCAGTGAAAGTTAACCTACCAATTGCCTCTGTGGCATCTCTTGGTAATTCAATACTATCATCTAAATCCTCACAAGTTTCCCAATCACTTGCTTTGCTACCAAGAACTGTTCTAACACCAACACCTGAACCTTAAATCATAAAATGGTAGCAATAATGGGTTAGCATTAATATACCATATATGTCAAAAAAGATGTCAAAATTCAACAATTACAGGAGGATATCGGAAATAATAAAAGTCTCATTAGACATTCAAGCACTGACCAAACATGATAACCTTCCGATCTCAAGTACTTAGTTGTCCAGCAAATAACGAGTGTACCTTAATTAATGACCTCTTGTGGTAAGCAAATCGCTTTAATAGAAAGTAAAGTACATGGACCGAGCTCCTACAATTGTACATCGTTAAGAATGGAAAAATGCAATTGATTGTCTCTCAGTATCGTACATTAGTATGTAGCACTTTGGTAGATCCAGGAAACTGACCAGTTCAAAGAAAGGAAAAAACACCCAAAAACTTTATTGTAAACCATGTGAATATAAACAGTCTGTGCAACCAATTCTGGGACTTGAGAGATATCTTACAAACAAATGTTATTGACCGTTTGGTTATGACTGAAACAAAAATGGATTCATCATTTTCTGATACCCAGTTTAAAGTAGAAAACAACAGTTTGTTTAGAAAAGGCAGAAATGACAAAGGAGAGATAATTGTTTATGTGCAATCTTCAATCCCTATCCAAAGGTAAGCTAACATAAAATCTCCAGACATAGAACTTAAACCACTAGTCATGAACATAGGTAATAGTAAATGGTGCTTTCTTTCAACATACAGACCACCTAGTACAAATCCTGAAACATTTCCTCCCAAGTGCCAATGTTACACCAGTTTTCAAAATGATGGGCAGTTTTGATAAACGTAATTACAGAGTAGCTAGTGTGCTACCAGTTTCCTCCAAAATTTATGAAGGTGTGATGGCTGAACAATTAAAGGGATTCTTACCGATATAAGCAAAAATGAAACATATCCCAAACTTAATTTATTTTTACGTATGTGGGTCACGACCTAAAGCAAAATTGGCCAATTAAAAAAATTAATTGTTCCAAATTCAAGTCTGTATTGAAGAACGTCCTCTCCCCAAAACAGAATAGATGTCAACCATAGGTGTTCCCATGGTCTTAGCCAATCAGAGTGCCCTGCCTAAATTAGCACTCATACAAGGAAAAACAAATATTGTGGCAGAGTTCGAAGTCGTTTACAAATGCACGTTAGTTACAACACACTCCCTTCATTGTTCATAAGCATGTTTGTGCACTTAAGCATTGAAAGAATTCATTTAAAGATGCATATCAAGGCAATTTTTTGCCACAAAAGCCAACCAAATGCCAGCATAGAGTTTCAAGTATTATAACTAAGAGAATTGCCAAAAGACATTGTTTAATTTTACCCGAAAAATGATATATGAAAGTATTTTTCAGTTGGCATTCTATACTGTATATCAATGGGGCAGAAAAGTAGGTCACGAAAATAGGTTAAATTTCCTACCAAAAATTAAAAGAAAGGAGCAGTCTAAAGCTCTTTTATGTCTGCTCCCAGCTGCATGTGTTGATGAGCTACTTTTATTTATGCTAAAAAACAAGTTCGAAAGTAGTGCTTGCAAAAATTAACTTGTCCTATGAAACGATCATTAACATTTCCGAAACTTCCAACCAGCATAATGACTGCCAAATAACTGTGCCATGTGGATAATGTGGGGGAAATTATTAATCGTGCCAGGGAAAATAAGATCGTGCCGGGTGGAAAATTTCTGGAAAAAAAATAATCTACTATTATTCAGCACTTCAGAGTATGCCTAGGCTGACAGTGTAAAACTGGCAGCACAGGAGTAATTACAAAGAGAAATTTACCTGAGGTGGAAAGTACTGCTTTTGAAGAAACACTGGAACAATTCCCCCTATTACTTTCACCCAATGTCTCAGACACTGAAAAGCACATATTAGAAAAAACGGAAAAAAATTTGGTTGTTCATATCTAATATTATATCTATATTAAAGGTATTATCTACAGGTATGAAAATATCGTAAAGTCATATTTGTATAGTTAAATAATTCAGACTTTAAAACAATAAAATCTCTTAAATAAAATTATGCCAGATGTCAATATTTCCTTTGGAAATATCAGGGAGATGGACAGCCATCTACATGAATTGACATGAATCATTAAGAACTAAGTTATTTCATTAAAAATGATGCAAAAACATTGAATCTGAGTGCAGGGAGGCTGGTTGAGAAATGATTTGTGAGAAGAAGAAAAATTGCTCTTTTCACAAGGAAAATTACATTTGGCATGAAAAAGCCATACAGAATTTCTTTAGATATTGTGAGATTAAGAAGTACAAGTGCCGACTAGTGGGTATATATTTATTACAAAAATTTACCTAAACTGTCTTCAAATTGTTTGCAACTTTTAGGCGAAAAAATCTGGTGGGTGGTCCCTTTTAAAAAAACCTTTGTCCTTCTTGAGTATGTTTTTATTGGAGTTGGAAAAGGATCCATTATATGTTCTACTTGAAAGCTAAAATGTAGAAAAAGCCAACTTCTTCTGAAAAAAAATACTGATTAAAACATCAATCAAACTTATGAAAGGCAATATAAGCTGACTTTAGAAGAAAGTTCAGTTTCATAGAACAAATTTTTTTTAAAGACATTTCTATTATCCAATCAGAATTATCATGGACAATTCAATTTCTTTATTTACTTTGGAATATTCCTATGGCCGTCTACAGGACTTATGTGCAGATAAAGGCAAATATAACAGTCTGAGACATAACCTTTAGGCTTACTGACCATTTGGACCAGCACTTTTTCTAAAATCTACTGTTTTGAATCATGATTCACTGGATTTAATAAAAAATGTCAGTATTGCCCCATTGCCTTATTATTATTAGTAGTAATAACAAGTAGTGGTAAAAACAAGTCATTGGTTTTTTCAAACATTTTTCTATTTAGTATCATCATGTGTGTCATTTTAGAATAAAGTAAATCAAATCGAAAGCTCTTTTGAAAACTTATATGAAATACCTAATGGCCATGTCAGACCTCATATTCTGAAAAATCTACTAGTTCAAACAAAATTTTACTGGCTGCGGGCGTAGGGTCTAGGACCAGTGGTTAACTCAACAGACTGATATAAATTTCTTGTTGTTCTTGTAAAACATTTAAATTGCCAAACTTATCAAAATTTATTTGAATTTATCAGACATACACCAAATTCAAAATCATAAAATTTATTATTATTAAATGAAGTTAATAATGCAAAAGTACTGAAATTTCATAGCTTACTAGGCCCGTCAGCAATTAAAAAGGGAAGTCCTATTTCTGAAATAAATGACCTTTTTTCACCCTTACAATTCCCACTGCCTACAGCCACATGCCAGCTTACACAGGATATAAGACGTCTTACACATCAAAATTAAACTGAGACTAGAACAGTCTTTCTACATAAAAAGGGGTTAAATTATGACAATGGGAATCGTGTCCTCATTGGTGTCCTCCTGGGAGAATATACATGTAATGCACGTTTTATCTGACAGAAATAGATTTGCCTCCCTAGAACCAAGGAAGTAAATTGGAGAACCCGGAAATGTCAGTAATGTGAATTTTACAACTGAAGATCAATCAGGGGCGGATCCAGAGTTATTTTCTGACAGTCTTCCAATTTATCTTTGTTGATCCATCCTCCATTTTTGACAGTCTTCCGACAGAAAAAATTAGATACCCGTCAATGTAAACTTGACAAATCTGACCGTCTTCCGGAAGACCCAGAAGACGCCCTAAATCCGCCCCTGGTCAATGTCACATCAATGAGATCTAATAACGTTACTATTAGGCATTTTTAGATCTGGATGTATCCCCTACCAGGTTTCTACGTCTTTCGAGTCCAGTGAAAGTTTTTTTGACTCCACTGTCACTTCTCTTACCTTGAAGCACTGTTGTGGCAAGAGACCGGTTGTTCTGCTATTCAGATTCATTCATCAAAGTTTCGGCATGACGCTAACGGAAAAAAGGTGTACATTGATGAATTCCTTGGACTAAAAGTATACCGAGATTTTTGCCAGTGTGTCATAATCTTGCATCCTTGACACTGTCCTTGACCCACTTGTTTTGATTGGTCAATTGTAACTGAAACAACATTTCTATTGGATAAAAGTTTCTCATGACCAGACGATTTTTAGGTGCGCGAAAATAGAACCGCACACCTACAGAATCCACGGCCCACCGAATAATTTGTTTTCATTCTTTTCCCATTACGTATAATATGTACTATTTTTGCACACGTGTTTTGGCGATATAAGCCTAGTTGGATATGAAGCACCAGAAGTGATTTGGAAATTCGGGAATCCGCACATATATTTCAGGTCCGTAGCCGGGGGAAGGGGGGGGGGGGGGTCGGGGGGGTTCGAAAGAACCGCCCCTTTTGTCAGGAAAAGGTCCATTCTGGGTAAAATTTTATCTAAGTACACAAATGTTTCATTGTAACCAGGGAAAGTCAATAGGTTTCCTTTGACAGGTCATTAAAACAGCTGCTCAAAAATTTACCTCTCAGGCCGGTAGCCAGCAAAGTCAAAAGGGGGGTTCTTTTTCTGAAAAAGTGGACCTTTTAAAATGAAACCTTCGTGTACCTATATCAAATTGTACCCGGAATGGGCCTTTTTCTGACAAAAAGGGTGGTTCTTTCAAACCCCCCCTGGCTATGGGCCTGCCTCTTTTAACAAGCACAATCCAGTGGTCAAATATTCTATCATTTCAAAGCATTTAAACAGACTTCAACTGCCAGGATGTTTTTTTTTTTAATTTATTTTCTAATTTTTTTTTTTAGTTTTCCGAGTGTAAATACTATTATTAGTTATCATAACCATCTTTTTATATTACTTTTTTTTTTAGTTTGCATC